TTTTTTTTTTTTGTCATTGCGATTTGAGCCTTATATTCATTTCCCAGTGAATTAATGTTCATCGCCAACCTTTCGGTTCTCACAACCCTCTTAATTCATTGATATTTCTGCTTAATCTACAGCAGCTGGCATTTCTCGCTGAAACGCAGCTAGCATACAGTTATCACCGGTTTAACTGCTTAATCATATATTGTTTTCTTCGATCTGTTTGCACTACCAGTAAAGTATCGCCCCTACATTTTTTACAGTTTGCACGGCACAGCTTAGATGATAAGTTTGAAAATGTAGCACTGCACATGTGGTGGGAATATGCTCCGAAAATTTCCGCTTCCTAGCTTTACGGACTACTGAGTTTAAAGCGGGTAACAAAGTGCGAACACACATATACATAAACATATACAATGACAGCCCAGATAACGCTGCAGACAGCATTTTGAGGCAGGACAGAAAAGGAGACCAGCAGTAATAGTCAAGAGTTCGGGGCAAGAAGTGGGGCAGCAGTAAAGAGGAAGAGACAACAAAGCAGTAAAAAGATAAATGGCCAGCAACTGTCGGCGCAAAGATGCGTTTTTTGCATAGTTTTCGGCAGATTTTCATCGCCAACGCCACTGTTTTTTTTCCGGCAGATGCTTCTAGCTAAAAGAATTGAGAATGGCCACCAAGACTGTCAGGAAGCACTCCTTTAAAATTTCAACTTTCTAGTTTTCCTGGTTTCCGAGTTAGTAACTTACCCGAAAAGAACTTTCACGGGCCCGTATGTAGGAACCACACGTACCCCGGGACTGGAATTGAGCTCATTAATGCTTACTTGGACGGGGGACATCCTTTTAAAATTTCAGTCTTCTAGCTTCGCAGGTCCCCGAGTTAGCAATTTACCAGAGAAAAACTCTCAGAGGCCCGTGCGTGTGGTCCACGTACACCCAGAGGCTGGATTTGAGCTCATTAATACTTGCTTGGATGGGGAGCAGCCTTTCAAAATTCCAGTCTTCGAGCTTCTCAGGTTCCCGAGCTAGCAACTTACCGAAGAAAAATTTCACGGATCCGTACGTAAGAGCCACGCATACCCGGGGGATGGGCTTGAACTCATTGAAACCTATATGGATGGGGAAGATCTTGAAATTTCAGCTTTCTAGCGTTTTTGGTTTCCGAGTTAGCAGCTTACCTTCGAAAAAATTTGGCGGGCCCGTAAGTGGGTACTAGGCGGGTAAGAGGCCTATTTTGGGGATTAGGGCCCGTACGTGCATGTATATTAAATTTCCAAAGCTTCAGCCCTGTAATTTTATAGGTCTTGAGATGAAAAATCTGTACAGACGCTTACACAGGCACACGCACACACAGACAACCCCTCGTCAGTATGCGTTTTCTGCATTGCATAAATGTAAGAAAGGCATAAATAGTGAATTAAAGAAAGCCAAAACTTATGAACAAAAAAGAAAAGCGAAAGCAAATGAGCGGAATTTGTGAGCAAAAACTAAAGAAAGCAAACGCAAATAAAAACTGAGAAAGCAAAAGCAAAAAACAATTAAAAAACTTAGCAAAAGCAAACATTTAGGAGTGAAAGTGTCTTATAATAGTCCGTCTGCACTAACTGGCTCCTCTGTTTATGAAGTTAATGCTTAGGTAAGGCTGAGAGCTCCCAGCTTCACCTGCGTAACATTATTTTAATTGGGGAAGTCCCCTACTGACGATGAGTTTTTATAGGACAATTTCTACTCGCACAGACTCAGTTTTTTTTTTTTGCTTTTACTTTTTATGCGCTATGCAATGCGGAAAACGCATAAAGACGAGGGGCTGTCTGTGTGTTTGTGTGTGCGTCTGTCACGCACTTTCATCTCAAGACCTATAAAAGCTGCGGGGCAGAAATTTCGGGAACTTAATCTATATGCACATACCGGCCCCAATCCCCAAAATGGGCGCCAAAACCCGCGTGGTACCCGCGTACGGGCTCGCCAAACTTTTTCTAGGGTAAGTTCATAACTCGGGAATCTGAGATGCTAGAAAGCTGAAATTTTAAGGGGATGTTTCCTGCCAGTTTTGGCGGCCAGTCTTAATTTATTTAGCTAGAAGGATCTGCCGAAGAAACCGATGCCGGTAGCGACAACAACGGCGGGAAACTATGCAAAAAACGCTTCATTCCTGGTCCTCAAACAGCGAGAATGAGAAACTACAGATGGACAAACCGGATTACTGAATGATAAGCACAATGTTAAAATGATGTAGGACAGGCTCCCAATGCACCGAAAACATCCCCTTGAAGGACGACGCGTGATTATGTGGATAAGAGAAACTCCGGAAAAAAAAGCGGATGAGAAGAATGGAGAAGTTGCCAGCTTTACCAAGCCGGAATAATCGCGCCCGTCACCGGCCAAAGAAATTTTTCGCAAATCATGTATGGCGGCGGCCGAGCCGAGCCGAGCCAGGCCGATGTTTAGTAAATTGTCATTTTGTACGGTGCATGTGTCTGTTGTGGTACCACGTGTTTGCGATCCTTTTCCCTGTCGACCGTGTTTGCCCCCACTGCACCTCAGGTGTTTAAAAGAGTAGAAAGGGCCGAGCGGTGGCTGGAACTTTGGCGTGCATTGTGTGGTACAAAGGTGTTTTCCGGTTTCATGTAACTCGTTTTGGCTACCATGGCTAACGAATGCGCG